AGCGTTTCAGCTAGAAACATAACAGAAAAACAAGACTGGCCCAGTCCTGCAGTAATTGCAACGTTCCAGCACAGCTGCTTTTCTCGTATCGTCACCTACGTATCCCTCGAGTTTTCTGTAACCACAGCACCTTCCAGTTAAAATGCAGCCAGTTCACTGACAAGGAATCTGACTTCCATTCCTTTTGTCTCATTCCGTTCTTCCTCGTCCCTCCTTCTCTCCAACCCTCCCTGCCAAGCTTGGCTTTCAATACGATACTACTTGCAGCTTCAGGTCTTTGCTAACGTTGCGCATCTGAGCAGCATAGTCTTTAGCTTTCTCTGTTGTATTGTATAAAATACGTATTGTCTACTGGCTGTGTGTGGCTTTTATGTCACTGGTCTATTTTAAATCTGTGAAGAAATTACCCATTTGCACATATCATGGACAGATAAATTGCATTAATCCACAAGTCTGCATTCTGTGATTTTTGGTCACCTCCCCTAACCACAGTCTAACAGCCCCATGTTTAGCTGACAATAAAGAAACCTAGGAAGACAGAAGCTTACATTCTGCTCTCAGGAATGTGTATCTGGAAGTTTACACCATTCCACTGAAGGAATTATTCCAAAGGGCAAAATGTTTCCACTGAGGACGAGATTTAACTCGGATCAAGAATACATGTCGAGAAGTAGTGGATAAGTGCAGTTTCATGAGCTAAGATCCACATCTGCAGTGTGTAAAGAGAATTTTAAAAAGAAATAACCCCAGCCAAGCAGTGGATCTGCTCCAACAGCCAGAAAAGAGAAAAAACAAAACACCACCACCCACCAAATAGATAACTGAAGCTCTTTCCACTCCCCTGCCTACCCCTTTGAAAAATATACAAATAGTTGGGGGAAAAATATTGGCTGTGGTTAATGCAGCTGCAAGTGTCACCAGACAAAAGACTAAACAATAGAAAAGATGAAGATCCCTCCCTCAGTAGCAGCAGTTCTCACAGCCTCTCTATGCAAAAGCCATTCGAGCAATTCAGGCAGCAGCAGCAGAGCAGCTCAGGCACAAAGCATCATCTCTTCTAGGACATTCCCCGGCAAATGGCCCCCGAGCCAGCAGTTAATGTCTGACTGCTGGCAGGGGACTCGCCAGGAGCCCAGCACTCAGTCATAATTAGCAGGCTGCTATTAAATAAAGATCTCGGATGAGAAAGTTCGTCCCTCAAGTTATACCTTTGACCTCGGTGAAGTTAAATCCATGTTGAAACTGGCCACTGGAGACCTACTCCTGAGAATCTTAATCAGACAGCAGATGCCTGCTGCCAGCAACAATCAGAGACCTTCCAGTACCTGCCGCGCCACCCTTACTCCACAGGGGAAGCACAGTGCCTGCTCAAATTGGTTATTTAACACATCGCATTGGATTTTGTTAAGTCCCCTCAGCCCTTAAGTAAATGGCAACAGAAGAGCAGATGGTGCCAGTTTTCTGTATCACCCAGGTGCTCATGAGCCCGATCTACCATAGGAAGCAAGGATTCCCCAGCTATCACCGCTTGCTGCTGTTCACTTTGCATCACTGTGATCTCAAGAAGAGGAGAAAGAGGAGCTCATTGTTTCCCTCTTCAGTTTCATGCAAGCCTTGGAGCATGGGACTCAGCTCCACACAGAGGGAAAGATTGAGCATGGATGTCACAAGACATTATGCTGCCTATCCGTAACACATGACCTTTTTTCCAGCAGCTCTTTGCAGCTGAGCCATGATCAGTTTGCTGCACGGTGTCTTGGATTGCAAGAACTTCCTTTGGTTTGGGAGGCCAAGAAGAGGAGGGGGGCAAATGCATCACAGCTTGACAGCTTGCAAGAGGAGCAGCACACGTCTAGGTACAAGCTCTTCCCTTCTAGCTTTCCTCAGCCCGCTCTCTCCATCACTGCCTCCCTGTATCTTGGCACTACACCCCTCCCCAAGTGCCTACCACCCAAAATCCCACAGGTGTGCTGGTGGACAAGGGCACAGAGAGACAAGGGCACAGAGAGACACCACGGTGCAGTGAGCCAAACGCTGGGCTGGCAATCAGGGAATTGAACTTCTGTCCTTGTTTCTGCTGTTCCTTTTCCTCAGGCAAATTCGGGATTTTTTGCGGCACCTCTATGTCCCTCCTTCCTGTAATTAATTTGTATCAGCTGCAAGGTTTGTGGAACAGAAAGCATTTGTGCGTGTGTGGTAGAGC